GTTCTTGCATGAGGCCCAATGGGTGTATTGGTTTGGACATGACCAGTGGTGGGACAGTGGGTTTAATGGTAGAAGGACGTTAGAGATGCAGCCGCCAGAAAAAAGACAAAGATGAGATATTTCATTTCATTTATTTTGATAAATGATAAATACCGTATATGGATGCAGTTAAAGAGGACATGAAGGTAGTAGGAGTGAGGACAGAGGACACAGTGAGATGGAGTAGGACGACTCACTGTGGAGACCAGCTGAAAGAAGAGGGGGGAGGAGAAGAAGTAGAAGAAACGTTTCAGGAAGAAGAAGATTGTGTCATGACAGACTTTTTTTGTTGTCGTTTGTTTGCTTTTGTTATTTGTTTATTTTACACTTGTGACACCAAGTTCTTTCCTATTTATTTTTAATCCCTAATTAGGGAAAAGCAAACGGGTCGGACCTGTCCTGAAACACTCTTTCCCGTCTAAAAGCCCTTCTCATCATCAAAAATGTCATTCAAAAATGGGCACTCTGCTGCCGAGGGAACAGGGAGGGTTGGGCCTGCCTTGTTTGGAGGCCTATTCCTGGTCTGCACAAGTCAGACCTCTTGTGTGCTGGTGCAACCCAACCTGTGAGGCTAAATGGAAGGACATTGAGCTCTCCTTGTTGGATGTTCCTATACAATCTGTTTTGGGATGTCTGGATAGGCTACCACATGTGTACCAATTATAAAATCTGTGTGTAAGTTCCTCCCTGACAAAGTGGGCAGAGCTGGTTAAGAAATTTCATCTCCACAAGCAGATATGAGTGTTAAGTTGACCTGCACATCACCCCTGCTTCCTTCCAGCATGGACGGACCACAAATCTAAGATATGGGAAAGACAGGGAATCACATCATTCTGTAAGATTATAAAAACTGGGGAGTTATTAAATTTTGAAGATGTGTGCCAAATTTATGTGGTGGGCAGAGAAGATTTTTTTACCATCATTTACAGGTTCGAAGCTTCTTTAGGAAGGAAATCATGACCACTAATTTAGATGCAATTTCAGGAATGTGGCAAATATTTCTACAAATTCTGTCAAAAATACAAAATGTATCATTGGCAAACTTTACAGAAATTTTATAGCTATGAATAAAAGCTCAACAGATTACATCAAACAGAGATGGGAGAAAGAAGCAAACATTATAATTTCACAGGACGTTTGGCAACAAATGTGGAAGAATACTCTTTCCACTACAAATGCTTTAACATGGTGAGATTTTGTTTGGAAGAATTTAATCAGATTTTTTCTTACCCCAAAACAGAAATCTAGATTAGATGGCTCACAGTCCGCTTGATGGAGGGAATGCGGAGCAGGACCTGCGGACTGCTTTCATATCTTTTGAGCCTGTCCAAAGGTGAAGACCTTCTGGAAGGATGTTAAGCAAGTAATCTATGAAATCATGGGTATAATTTTAGATTTTTATTTTACTGACATGTATCCTGGAAAACTTCCTGAGGGTCTCAGCGCAAGTGATACATACTTATTGAAGATCTTTATGATTGCAAGCAAGAAGGCAATTACTAAATGTTGGCTTCAATKAAACCCTCCCACCCTGAAGCTCTTTATAAATATTATAAATCTGATTTATGACATGGAGATATTGACTTTTTAAATACATCTTCAAAAGGAGAAAGGAATGAGACTCTGGAGAAAATGGTGTTAAACAAACAAAGACGTTTAACATGTAACTGTTGAGAAGTGGAAACATCTCTTACTATTCTGATCTGTAACCTGCACGTAATTTACTTTTTTATGGATATACCTATAAATCATAATGGTAAACAAAGTGATTTTGTTGTTCACCCCAGCTCTCATGTGTTCTTTTTTTTGTGTGTTGTGTTCTTTATATAAAAATAAAGTTTGAAAAAAATGGGCATGCCATTGTAAATAACTACTACTACTTAATATGACTTGACTTCATTCACAACATCTTTGCTTCTCTATTATTCATTTCTGAAATCCCCTCAACACAGATGGTCTATTAAAGGCCTTTCTGTCAAACTTAGAACAACTATTCAGAAACACAAACAGTAACAATACCCACATGAAGAATTATAACATTTATAATGATAACCATTTTTATAATGATAACCATTTATATAATGATAACCATTTTTATAATGATAACCATTTTTATAATGATAACCATCATAATGTTAAAATAATAACAGTACCTGACTGAATGTCAAAATGAATCAGTGATATTTTATTGTACGCTGATTTAAAAAAGTCCATAAAACACATTGGTTTCTGATGGGTGGGACCACTAACTGAACAGATAAAGACTAGGATTAACTAATCCTGGCTGTTAGTCTGGTCTAGAGCAGGCTAGCTGCACAGAATAAATCACCATGGTAACTTATGCATCACTGCTTTTGTGAAACCGAATCAAGGCTTAATTCAGCCAGAATATCTGGAATAATCCCAGTTTAATGCTCTATCCTGGTTTAGTGAAACCTCCTCAACGACTGGTGAAAAAACCTTGAAGTAAAAATGTAAATATTGAGAAATGCTGATCCCTAACCATGTATTACCTGAGGGTCAGGTGAGGCGCTGAGCTGCCGGTGACAGTGCACAGGTACGGCCTGGTGTTGAACTGTGAAACCACCAGCTGGAAGGTGAACTGAGACGTCTCATAACTCTGGGGCTTAAAGGTCACTGACATYTTCACTTCTCCGCTCGCAGGAATCACACCTGGAAGAAAAAAACTGAGGTTAATCATTTAAAAACTGATGTTTTTCTTTGTTTCTAAACTTCATTACTCATCATTTCTTTTTGTTTAGGACCTGCTAAAACAAATCTTTTGAACCGTGTTTTAACAGTGTTTGTGTGTGTGTGTGCGTGCGTGCGTGCGTGCGTGCGTGCGTGCGTGCGTGTGCTAAAAAGCAAGGAAGGAAGTAATGTTGTTTCCAAAATGAGAAACTCGTTTGTATCTTTTCCTTCCAGGAGTTCAGCCAGCAGTAATCCAGATCCCCAGTGTTTACTGCCCCCATCTGTTGTGATGCTGTCCAGAGCACGAATCTGAGTGTGGAGGCCAGATGCATCCTTCAAACTCACCCTCCTTGTGTAAAACACAACACAAAGCTCTTCCTGTTTGGTTGCTTTTAAGGTTGATGGAAGATTTAAAGTAAATGGTGGCAAATGAAGTGAGAAGTGAAGAAACAATAAGTTGTCTTTAAGGAGCACTGAAACATCACTGGACGTCTCTGAAAACAGGAGGGCGTCTTTGATGCTACGCAGTTGTTTGGTGTTGGTTCACTCAGTGATTTAGAGCTGGGGAAATAGTTTTTTAATCAATTTGAGTTGAGAGGAAATTAAACTAAGTCCACTTTAGTCAGGAGTTCACAGCTACTGAATTTACAGGTGTCCATGTGATGGACTGAGACAAGTCCAGGTGTCCATGTGATGGACTGAGACAAGTCCAGGTGTCCATGTGATGGACT